AACACAGGAAGAGACTAAATAAAGGGAGGGGTAATCAAGGAACAAGAAAAAGCTGGGTAAAAGGAGAAACACAAGGACAACAGGTGAACACAATCAGACACACCAGGGAAACTAACGACAGGGAGGAAAACACAGGGAGAAGGACCAGACAAGAAACAAGGAGGAAAACTTGAAAAAGGGAGAACAGAACAGCAAAATAAACCCAAACCAAGACATACAAAACTAAAAACGTGACATAACATAAGAATCGTGACATGTTCTATCTACATTATTCTCCTGCAAAGAACTTGTATGGAGGCAGTTGTGGTGGATTCTCTTAAGATCTGCAATATGATGGTCACATGACCAACAGGGAGAGCCAAGCCAGTTTGCAATTCTACAGTCTATATAGTCACTCTATTTTTAATGGTTCCTAACAGGTTGATACAACCCGGTATTTATGCATATCTTGGTATCTGTTTTGGTATGGAGCTTGAATTATAGTTTGGACCATATTTCCCTAGAACATCCTCCTGGGTCCTACAATTTACTTTATTGTATTTTATTTAATTGTATTTTACTCTGTTTATTTGTATTTTATGTTCTATCTTGCAATAGTGAAAGAGAGGAGGCTCCCCTGGCCTTCTCAGTCCCTTGTGTTCTCTCTTTGGTCCCACATCGACCCCCTTTGTTTGTTTGGTTTGCTTGGTTAGTTTTAACTAATATTAGAGTGTAATTGTATAGACCACACTGAATCTGATCATTTCATTTCAAGAGTTTTTAATCTAAATTAAAATTATTGTTGTGTGTGCTTATGCACCAAACAGCAGTTCAGAGTATACGGCCTTCTTGGAGACCCTGGAAATAGTCCTGTATGGGGCTCCTGAAGGGTACTCTTTAATCTTGCTGAGAGACTTCAACGCACATGTGGGCAATAATGGAGACACTTGGAGGGGAGTGATTGGGAGGAACGGCCCCCCTGATCTGAACCGGAGTGGTGGTTTGTTACTGGACTTCTGTGCTAGTCATGGATTGGCCATAACAAACACCATGTTCGAACATAAGGATGCTCATAAGTGTACGTGGTACAGAGCACCCTAGGCAGAAGGTCATGATCGATTTGTTATCGTATCATCGGACCTGAGGCCGTATGTTTTGGACACTCGGGTAAAGAGAGGGGCGGAGTTGTCAACTGATCACCATCTGGTGGTGGGTTGGGTCGAGTGGCGGGGGAAGCCTCTGGATAGACCTGGTAAGCCCAAACGTGTAGTTCGGGTGAACTGGGAACGTCTGGAGGAGGCCCAAATTCAGGAGGCCTTCAACTCACACCTCCGGCGGAGCTTTTCGGGCATTCCTGTGGAGGTTGGGGACATTGAACCAGAGTGGTCGGTGTTCAAAGCCTCTATTGCCGAAGCCGCGGCGGGCAGCTGTGGTCTCAAGGTCCTAGGTGCCTCAAGGGGCGGTAACCCTCGAACCTCCTGGTGGACACCGGTGGTCAGGGAAGCCGTCCGACTGAAGAAGGAGGCCTTCAGGGATTTGTTATCCCGGGGGACTCGAGGCAGTTGCAAGGTACCGACAGGCCCGAAGGGCAGCAGCCTCAGCCGTGGCCGAGGCAAAGCAGCGGGTGTGGGAGAAGTTCGGAGAAGACATGGAAAAGACTTTCGGCGGCACCAAAGTTGTTCTGGAAAATGTCCGACACCTCAGGAGGGGAAGCAGGGAACCATCCAAGCTTGCAGAAGGATGGGAGTGTTGACCTCAACTGATGAGTGTTAGGGCGTTGAAGGACTTTGAGGAACTCCTGAACCCGACAACTCCGCCTCTATGTTAGAGGCAGAGCTGGAGTATGACGGGGATACACAATCTCCCGGGGGAGGTCACTGAGGTCGTCAAACAACTTCAATGGCAAAGCCCCGGGGTGGATGAGATCCGCCCAGAAATGCTGAAGGCTCTGCCTATCCCTGTGTGCCTTGGCAGTCTCAGACACGTCTCATCAACGTTGCGTGGAAGTCGGAAACAGTACGAAGGAGTGGCAGACCGGGTGGTGGTTCCCTTTTTAAAAACGGGGGTAATCAGAGGGTGTGTGCCAATTACAGAGGCATCACACTACTCAGCCTCCCCGGGAAAGTTTACTCTAAGGTACTCGAAAGGAGGGTCAGGCCGATTGTCGAACCTCAGATTGAGGAGGAACAATGCGGATTTCGTCCTGGTCGTGGAACGACGGATCAGCTTTTTACTCTGGCAAGGATCCTGGAAGGGGCCTGGGAGTACGCTTATCCAGTCTACATGTGTTTTGTAGACTTGGAGAAGGCGTATGACGGGTTCCCAGGGAGTCACTGTGGGAGGTGCTGCGGGAGTATGGGGTGAGGGGGTCTCTACTCAGGGCATCCAATCTCTGTACTCCCAAAGCGAGAGCTGTGTCCGGGTCCTCGGCAGTAAGTCGGACCCATTTCAGGTGAGGGTTGGCCTCCGCCAGGGCTGCGCTTTGTCACCAATCCTGTTTGTAATATACATGGATCGGATTTCGAGGCGTAGTCGTGGGGGAGGGGGTCTGCAGTTCGGTGGACTAAGGATTGCACCACTGCTTTTTGCAGATGATGTGGTTCTGATGGCTTCATCGGTCTGCGACCTTCAGCACTCACTGGATCGGTTCGCAACCGAGTGTGAAGCGGCTGGGATGAGGATCAGCACCTCCAAATCTGAGGCCATGGTTCTCAGCAGGAAACCGATGGACTGTCCACTCCAAGTAGGGAATGTGTCCTTACCCCAAGTGAAGGAGTTCAAGTATCTCGGGGTCTTGTCCTCGAGTGAGGGAACAATGGAGCGTGAGATGGGTCAGAGAATCGGAGCAGCGGGAGCGGTACTGCAGTCGCTTTACCGCACCGTTGTGACGAAAAGGGAGCTGAGCCAGAAGGCAAAGCTCTCTGTCTACCGCGCCATTTTCGTTCCTACCCTCACCTATGGTCATGAAGGATGGGTCATGACCGAAAGAACGAGATCGCGGGTACAAGCGGCCGAGATGGGTTTTCTCCGCAGGGTGGCTGGTGTCTCCCTTAGGGATAAGGTGAGAAGTTCGGTCATCCGGGAGGGACTCGGAGTTGAACCGCTCCTCCTTCGCGTCGAAAGGAGCCAGTTGAGGTGGTTCGGGCACCTAGTAAGGATGCCACCTGGGCGCCTCCCTAGGGAGGTGTTCCAGGCACGTCCAGCTGGGAAGAGACCAAGGGGTAGACCTAGAACCAGGTGGAGGGATTATATCTCTTCGCTGGCCTGGGAGCGCCTTGGGATCCCCCAGTCAGAGCTGGTTGATGTGGCCAGGGAAAAGAAAGTTTGGGGCTCTCTGCTGGAACTGCTACCTCCGCGACCCGACCACGGATAAGCGGGAGAAGATGGATGGATGGATGGATGGATGGATGGACGATATTTTGAAGTGCGGTAATTTGTGTATATTAATAAAGAGTCTTTTCTAATTCAAACATGCTTTCCAAACCAGAAAACCTTATCAAAAGTTGCAAAAATGTAGCTTTACCCATTTATTTGTCCAAGTATATTTTAAGTTCAATATTATACGTCTGCACCAGTGCCATTGTGCATTTTAATAAAGATAATTTCAGCTTGAATTTGACCTCACTACGAATCTCAACTTGTTGCTGCAGGAATAGCAGGAGTGCACTGTGGTGTTACCTCTCAGTTAGAAAGTCTCTCTTTTTTTTCATCCACTAAGCATTCTTCTGTAAGACTGGAGCTCTGCAGCTAATGTCTGGAGAGATGCTGCACAACACCCACACGATACAGTCAGCAAGCACGTTGGTGGTCGTCCTCAAACGATCTCTATCAACAAATACAGGAAGTTCTAAATTTAGGAACATGTGACTGTGAGTGTGACTTGACCACAAACACATATATAAATGCAGGAAGTCCAATGTTGTTTTTAGAATATGTGTAACTTTGTGCTTTCCTCTCAACACACATAACACATTTTACCAAGAAACATTGAACACATCTGTTAAGTACAGCAAAAATATTGGTAGAACATTTCTTACACTAATGGTTGCTTTTTTATTTTATTCTGGTAACACACTCACACACACTTACAGCCTCCAGTCAATGCTGATGATAAAAGAAATGCCTTCAAGAGGGAGTCCAACTGATGTCAACACTATCACCATGGATACGGTGCCGGCCTGAGGGATGCCTGAGGCCCCAAAAGCTGCTGATGTAGCAGTGATACTGCAATCACATACATTTGAATTATGAACAAGTAACAATAAGTCACTTTAGAGGCTGCATCGGGAATCATTAGAATATGCAAGAATGAATTTACATACAATGTAGAAAGATAAAGTTATTTAACCATAACTGATGATGATGATGACTTCACCCAGATCCAGCTCCGTATTATAAATCTGGGCGATGAATATGGAAGCTACCGTCTCTTAAAGTGCTGTGCCATCCATGGAAATTGTGGCACCTAAAGGCAGCATGAAGCGTGTCACCCGTTTGTCCATGTTGAGATTCTCCTCCAGGCAGCGGATGGCGATCGGTAGAGTCACAGTGCTGTATGAAAAAAAGTGCAAGAGTATACTTTCTCATGCCCGATCCATCTTAACTGTAATGTTTATGCTGTAGCCTGTAAACAACAATGAAAATTGGAATTCCAGCTCACCTGGATGAAGTCCCAAAGGTGGTAGTATACCAGTCATAAACCTGAAGGGATTCTTACGTGTGACCGTGAGATAGTTGAGGGGGAGGATGATGAAGCTGTGGATGAAGAGTCCAGGGATCACAGTGAGAGCATACATTGCAATCTGGAGACCTATACCCCTACTGTCTCTCAGCTTCAAAATCGGTCCTGCGATCAAGAAGAGGACTCTCACTGGGGAGTACCTGCATGAGAAAAGTGTAGCAAAGCACTGTAAAAGCCAGCAAATCTTTTTGAATGATGATTGTAGTGTGTTTTAGTTTTTTTTTTTCAAACTTCACTGATAGAGTAATTGGCTTAGTCGCAATTAATTATTAATTAATTAATTGAATTCACAGTCTTAATGTTGGAAGTTTCTCTTACCAGATTACTATGCTGATCAGATGCACGGTGGCTTTATTCAGGCAGTCAAAAACATGCCTCAGAGGTTTTGCCTCATTCTCCTTATCCAGGATAAGTCCAAAGGCGATGCAGAAGACCAATAAACCCAAAATATTGACCCCTTCTGAGGTGCCTGGCATCGGTGCTGTGTCATCTGCAAGATTACCAGTAAAGCCGTTAAAAGTCATGATAATAACAGTTGTATTTAATGAGATAAATATAAATATTTGATCACAACTACAAAGAACAGAAAAATAATTCTTATTGAACCTACTTGTTTGAATCAGATTGCTGCCATCAAGACTTTTGATTTTGGAATAAACTGTTTTATACTGAATTAAATAAATATATCATCATTGTAATCAAGCAGGATTATGAGTAGGAAAAAAACTAATAAAAAACAGTTCCTGAAACAAGCCTCCACAATATTTGAGGGAAACATGTTTCTGTAAATTAAAGAAAGAGAGTAGGTTATTTAATGATTGTTTGTATTTGAGATTGATCCTTTATGATGCACACTAACCTCATGAGATCCAAAAAGGCATCCACAGTCTGCACAGCCTCCACCTCGCCACCAGGGGGCGCTGAGGCGTTCCCGTGTGATTTCCCAACCAGGACGATGCCGATGAACCGATGAACACAGATATGAGGGTTGTAACCGTGTAATAGCAAACAGCCTGGAGCCCCAATTTCCCAAAAGCCTTCTTGTCCATAGACGACATCCTTAAAGAAGATGCAACATATGAACACATGAATATACTTTCTGTTTAGATTGATAGCTGATATCTGGGTGTAAAAAACACAACAAATATACAAAAAACATATACAAAGAGAAACAATACTAATTCAAGGAATACCTTTTAACATGGTAAACACATTCTTACATATAGTAGTTGAACACACACAAACATATGTTAGAGTGGTGTCATCATTTAGAAATAATAAAATAAAACTAGGATCTGTGCATTGTCAATTTAATGTCAACCAATATCCCAACAATAAATCACACATCCTGGGAATGTATTTAAGTAAGAGGTTGCAGTTATATTGCTGTTTTGGATAAGATTGTATTGAGGATATTACTAATAGTATGGTGTGGAAAATGCATTACAGTGGTAAACTGAACACCATCGTGTGATAAACATCACACATAAAAATTTTTTTTGTTTAAATGAGAATTTCGGGGGTGTGGGGGGGGGACACACTCAAGATACTTAATCCAAAATTGCTCCCGATGGCATGGCCAACAGTGTGGTTATCTGTTAATGCTGATTTGTATGTACTTTGACCGGTACAAAACACTGGAAAAAAGGGCTATATGAAATGCAGTCCATTTACAACTATAGAAAATCGCCACTTCTCTGAGTATGTCGGGCCATTTGACTCTAATATCCGGGGATCTAACCTGAAATCAGACTGGATGTGATGAGAGGAAGCACCAGCATCTGTAGCATCCGCATCAACAGCTCTCCAGGAAAGGTGAAGTATTGTTTATCTCTGGATGTCATGTTACTGTATTGCAGAGCCAACCCCTCAAAGAAATGCAAAAAAAGGTCAACATGTCAGTGTGTTTCTCAAATTACTATTCATTCACAAAAATACAAAATGCATTGCAGTCAATACTCAAAGTATGCTGGAAAATAGCATTATGCAAAAAACAGGGGCAATCTCCATTAACACGCCTGTGATGTAAAACAGGACTCAGGTGAACGGAGAAGAGTTTTATAACAGATCAAATCCACCAGATGCTGCTCCACGACTTTTGTAAGGTCAGATCTATTTTAACATCCATGAACAATATGTTTTAAAATGTTTCAATGAAATACGTGATTAAAAAAGGTTGTGTTACTATTTGCCATTCAAGTGCTTGTTTTGGTTAACTGTAATATTTACTGCTAGCATAGCATGAAAGCTAACAAGTAGGAACTCTCTCAGATTAGATCAAAGAGGTCATAGAAAATGTTTATGGAATACATCCATTCAACATTGATATTTAAACACAGTGTCACTTTATAACGATGATTAAGTAAAACAAATACTTAACAATGGCTATAGCAGCTAGAGTGAGAAGAACAAAAGCATTCCTCCTGAGGAAACCTTTAAAATTGAATCTTTTCTTGGACAAAGCTCTTGAGAGCTCAGAAGTCTCCTGGCATGTCTGGCTGTCGTTGACATCAGAACTTTTCATTGTGCTCAAATTGGACGGACCGTTAGAGCTCTGACATCTCTGACCTTATAGAGGGCAGAAGAAAAGACAAGGAGGACATTCAATATCTCAAATAGATCTTGATATACAATATCCAACATTGAGAACAGAATTTTAAATATATTGTAAATGCAGGCACAAAATGTATACACTTTTCAAACACAACATGGTTTAAAATAACAGAAGCTAGTCTACAGAAAACAAGAAGAGGACAAAATTCCTTATCAGCCTTCGATAAAGGAGTCCTTGCATCAAACCTTTTAGGAGCTGGATAGTTCCCTCTTGACACTCGTACTGGTTTGCCTAGTTCTACACTTTGCAAAGCAGCAACAGTTGAAGGCGTGCAGCATCCTTGAAAGATAATTAATTCGGGAAAATAAACCCCCCAGGAGGTGAGCAAACAAACACACACTAGTCAAACCAGGTGGAGGCAGCCGGAGGAGCTTCTCGCACAATAACTGAAACAACACATTTAGGAGACAATATATTGTAAACGTGAAACCTTTTTAAAAACACTGTTTCAGCGAGATGTGAGGGTGCAGTAAAGGAGCAAAGAGCAATGGCGGTTGTGGGGGAAACTTCTTTGTAGCAATGCAGGAGGAGTCACCGACTCAAAAGGAGACACGGGGAGAGCTGGAGCTCTGATGTCAAACACTGACGGGTTTATTTGGAGCTTCGGCCGGAGAATTCACAAAATTTGTGAATTCTCCGGCCGAAGCTCCAAATAAACCCGTCAGTGTTTGACATCAGAGCTCCAGCTCTCCCCGTGTCTCCTTTTGAGTCGGTGACTCCTCCNTGTATGTGTGTGTGTGTGTGTGTGTGTGTGTGTGTGTGTGTGTGTGTGTGTGTGTGAGATAGGGGGAAGGGGCGTGGAGTGAAGCGGGAGTAAGATTTCAGCAGAATTCATTAGCAAGCAGCTCGGGAGGAATGCTCCAATGGCATAACAACAAAGACTAATCTAGCAGGAGCAGTTCACTTGTCATCACAATTACAACAAATTCATGTTTCACTGGAGACTGATATAGTGAATCCAATCTAGCGGTTCTGCGGTGAGCCTCTATATAGATAATATGGGCTGCCGGGAAACTTTCAGCAGGCGGAATTGCTAAAAATTGCTCTCCGTTACAAAAAAACCTTTTCTGTAAAAATAATTCGGCTCAGGATTGCCAATGCATTCGAGCACACACTGAATTTTACTCAGCTTTCTTTGCACTGGAAGTGTGCCAGTTACATTAACCACTGAGTTGTATTACACTGTACTTTCTCTGTCACTTAACATTTTACACATGAAGGTCAAACATAATTGGGAATACCACTTAAGGCTTCTAACACTGGGCTTTAGGGCTTTACCTTTTTTTTTTTTTTTGACATTGGAAACTTCTAGTGAGATTATACAAGTTTCAAAGGTCTGTCGTCATATTTCATGACATCATCACCCTAGAAGAAAATAATAATCCGCCAAGAAAATTTGAGTAACTCTCTCTTTCTATTAAATTCACTTTCTTTAATGAAAATAAATCTTCAGTGCTTGCCTCCCTTTGTGTGCAGCAAGCAGGTGAGTAAGTAGTGATTGTTGATTTTGAAAGGCTAGACACCAACAAATAAGGATAAAAGCAGCATATTTAGTTCGATAAAAGCATGGTTTTGGAAATGCTATCCATTTTTTTTTTTAAATAATGTTGACTTTCCAATTTAACACCTCTCTGGAGTTTTATGAAATGTATGGATCTAACAAATCCTTCACAGCCACCTTTGGAATCTATGAATAGGATAATACCATTCATTTAGAGCCTGTTTGCCACCGGTTCAGACAGTGTTATCCTCACCTCACCTGTCTCTCCTCTGCTCCACTCCATGAGTGTGTGTGGAGAGACTAAGCTGCGAGAGTAGCAAATATTAATGATTGAGTTAAATTTTTAGCATCGGCACTCATAATTCTGCAGCGCTGGTAACCAGGGGAAACACTGATTAGTGTAGCTTCATCTTTATCTGCAACCGTGCAGAAACACTGGGTTTAAACAGAATGAATAGACATGCAAGAAAAAATATTTAACAATCAAATGTTGATTTAAAGTTGAAATGTCATCGTTATGAATGAAGCTTTCGGAAAATAAGCATAAAGCCAGATTTTGTAGTCTGAGAAAATAGCAGAAAACAGACAATGTCACTTTGATGTTTTCAGTTTTATTTTGTCAAAAATTGTTTTCTAAAGCCCAAGTATGGAGTCTTTAAAAGTATGTGTTGTTTTTTGGAGCGTATCAGAGAATTAAAGTCAGGATATCTGCTGCTCTGAATTTGACCGTCCAGTTGAATGTTTCTGTGAAGTGGGTCCCCCAATATGTAGGAGTGCATTCCTTTGGAGGAGCCCTTTAAACCCGTTACATCTGAAAATCAGAACCATAAAATCTTCAAGGGCAAGTTCTCAAAGTGTGTGATTTATCCAGAGTAACTTTACATTGTCTCTGCCAAGACATGCTGCCGTTAATTATATAAAAATGCATTTTATAACACATTTAGTGTAAGTAAGTAAAAGATGTTCAATCAGGGTGACATGTCTCTACAATATCCTGTTGTTAATAATTTCCATGAACAGTCACATCCTAATTCCTTCATTTTATGTCTCCCCTCAGATGTAAGGTAATCAACCATAGAGGATGAGATATGTACAAAAAGGTCAGGGAGATTTGTTCTGGATGAATCATCAATTGTTAAAACTGCAATTTGTAGGCTTGAATAGATTTGACTAAAGCGTTATGACTCTTTTGACTTATTTTGTTAAATACAATGTTTTGTTGTATGACAGCATTTGCCAAATGTTTTTAACAGATTATTTGTTTATCCAGAATGAAACTGCTGTAAATGTGTGTTGACCTCCCCTTTCATATATCACATCACTTAGTCTCCACATTTGTTTTCTACAAATCCCATAGGCCAAAAACACCCCAAGTGCAATATTATGTAAGGGTGACAGATGCGTTTGCTTTGGGCCTATTACCTGAATGTAGAAGTGTACAGTTTGCCTCGCAGGTGGATCAAGGACTGAACGCTTTTTAATTAAAAAAAAAATGTGCAGGGCAGAAGCTCTTCTCCTTTTTTATAATACTTTGAGCATATTTCATCCACATACACTGTGTCAGAGGTGAAAGACTTCTGTGAGCTGCATGTCTAAATGCTGTCGAGGGCGAGTGGGGAAATATGCTCTTTAATAATTTGGGTGAACTGAGTCTCAAAGATTATTTATTTGAAAGAAAGAATCAGAAGAAATAAAGCAAAGTTACCGATAACACAGGGGCACATCAAAGGGATAGGGACTTTAAATCCAAGTATTTTTCTTCTTACTATTTATCAATCTAGATTGTTTTGGTGTGAGTTCAATAGTATTGGAGATAGCAGACAATAAAACAGGTTTCTTTTAAGGTTTTGCTGCCTTTTAGATTGAATGTTGCTACCATTTGGTGTCTTCCATGTTCTTGTCTTACAACTTTAACCCCTTCAGTGTGTTTTCAATTTATTCATATTATTGTAAAATTGAGGTCAACTTAAAGCTTTCAATTGTACTTTGCTCTTTTATCACTTCTGTTTCCACAAAACATGATGACCTTAAAACCAAGATGGCGACGGTCAAAATGTAAAATGTGAGTCTTCAAAACCATGACATCACAGTGACTACATCCACTTCTAAGATACAATGTATGGATGGCACTCAGCTTTTTGTGCTCAAAGTATCAAAATTACATTTGAAAAACTCAACAGCAAGGTCTCACACCAGAAATCACTACTGAACTACACCAAAACATTGAGCACGAGCCTCTCGTATGATGAACAGAGCCAGAGATTTTCCTTTGCTGGTGTTATAGGGGTTGCACACGCACACGCATGTATGCAGCACGACTAAATTACACTAAATTACAATGTCCTTTTATTTTAAAAACAACGCAATATATTCAGCTCAAGGGATAAATATAAGGTTTACAACACCCATATATCATTTCCACAGACCTGGCTTGCACACACGCAGCCAGCAAAAGACAGGACTGTCAACATTCAGCGTCAATTTCTGAAATCTCAAACTGATGCATCCAGTGAACAAAACCTCGACTAATGAATCAAAATCATTTCACCGCACATATATCATCCTGGTGGATGCACTTCTGGCCAGTGGTTTGATTTAGAGTCTAAATATTTTTCGCATATGATTACCGTAAGCCCAACAGCTAAGAGAGTGAGTGTCTGTGTTGTGAAATTGTTAAGTGAGTACATTAGGAGATGCATAGCTGTGCTGGATGTTGAGAGACAGAGAGAGAGAGATGCAAACAAGCTTAAAGAAATGTAAAATGATATTGTAAAATAAACCACAGGCATGTGTTGGGGGTGCTACAGGGGGGCTATGGCAATCCTAGGTAGTTAGAGCACCTCCAATCCCCTCCCTCTTTTGCTCTTGTCCATAAATGCACAATTTGTAATGTGCAGTGACATGGTGAGCACTTGTAATTTGGTAGAAAGAAAACAGTGTCTAATTAAATCTGCACACAAAACGGTCTGTTATTAACTAGTATTGGTATTAACTGTTATTCATTTCTGAAACAAAAACATTGCTAATACCATTCAATCCCCCTATATTTGAGATGAGTCATATCTTCAACACTCTGCAATTCACACAACAATGATCTAGATTGATTATTAGCACTACAGGTAAGAGGAAGAAGTGTTTACATTTTGGGTTGAACTCTTCTTTGAAAGCTTTGTTAACAACCCCTTTAATCTAAATAATCAACACATCCATGCAGTCAGACCTGCAGGGACCAGGTTGACGAGCTAATAGCGGAGCACAAACACTGACACCCTCAAACACACACACACACACACACACACACACACACACACACACACACACACACACACACACACACACACACACACACACACACACACACACACACACACACACACCCCTTGGTTCTCACCATGCTCCAGCTCCAGCTGTGGGAGTCTGTTGACAGTCTCCTTGGCAACCAGCCTCTTCTTGTCCCGGGCCTTTGCATCCAGGTGGCTGAGGAGGGGCGATATGAAGGGATAATTAAAACCATTCCCTCCGTTTCTCACCTCAGGCTCCTGCTGAGGCTGGGGGGGCTGCTGGTGGTGATGATGATGATGCTGGTGATGCTGGTGATAAAGCTGATGAAGGTGTGACAGGTCGTTGGGAACATGGCCCGAGTGCCGGTTAGCGAGTCCGTTCATCTCCCCAGCTCCGCCCCCCCTGGTGGCTCCGCCTCCAGGGTCTTTCTGACACACGCAGTGGAAGTGATTTCGTGTCCCAGTGACGCAACGGCCCAGACGCCGCCACGCCTTTCGGCCCAGGTGCCCCAGGTAGCGGATGATCTCCTCGTAGCAGCTCCCTGGTTGGCTGTCACTGGCCAGCGTAGAAGCCGATTGGTGGAGCTGCCGGGCCCGCTGCTCCGATTTCATTAAGGCGTGTTCCCTCTGCTTTGTTTCAGAAAACTGGGTTGCTATGACGACCAGGCACAGATTGATCATGAAGAAGGAGCCCACCTGGTCATTACAAAAAAACATGACGCACTGTTGTAAAAACACAGTCCAATGTATTCAACTTTATCTAATGCAATCCAATACGACAGCTGAGCCATAAACGCATCGCAAAGATCATGATGTTCAGATTTGATTGACACTGTCGGAGAGGTATCAATTCAACCATTTGTTTAATAAAAGTATTATTTTCTATTTTGAGATGTTTACATTTTATGTTTATGTCTGTTTGGACTCCTTTTCATCTTAACATTGTGTGCAATGCCTTGTTTACATGCTGCTGTGATCAATAAAGTATATCTTATCTTATGTTATCGTACCTTATAAAGAGGACATGTTATGCACATTTTAAGGTTCATATTCTTATTTTTTGCCTCAACTGTGACATGATTACATGCTTTAATGTTCAAAAAGGTAGTTTTATTTATCTCATTCTACCTGTGCTGCAGCCCCTCTTTCCCCCCTCTGTCTGCTCCGATTGGTTAGCTGGCTCTGTTGTGAATGGTTAAAAACCTACACTTCGGGAAAGGTAAAACCCCAAAAAGCATAATAGGGCCTCTTGAAGGATGTTCTCTGCAGAGGTTTTGAACTGGACTGAATTACGCTGAGAAGTGTTTTTAACAAAACGTTATACAAGGTTCTGAAAAGTTGTTGTGAGGCTCCAACCCTTTCAAACCTGGCAGTGAAGCTACCATAGTACTCCAGACTAATCCAAAAGTGTCCAAAGAGGTGTAGCTGAGGCGGGCCTGGGTGAAGTACAATGTGAGTCAGCTAGCGGCCCAAACTGTTGAGGCACCCACCAACCTATCACTCAGTCCTAGCTCTTAATTATGCATGCTTTTATACATTAAAGGTGGGGTAGGTAATTTTGGAGAAACCAGCTCGAGTGCGCTAGAATTTGAAAATACACAGCCGGAACAAATCTGCCACTTCCTTACAGAGCCCCTCCTGCAACACACTCGAACGTGCACATGACCAATGAGGGCACGAGATAAGTTTGTGCACAGATGGAAGGCTGACAGGCAGGTAGGGCATCCAGTTATTTTAGCCGGGCCGGCTAAAATGATTGGTCGTGCTTTTTACAGTACTACGGCTTCCACAGATGAAATTTTTTTATGGATTTTTTGTCAAAGCACTTAAGATATTCATTGCTATCGGGATGTTAAGAGCATTCCATGGAATATAACAAAAAGTGTATCTCGAGTCGGTTTCTCAAACTTACCTACCCCACCTTTAACAATAAAAATAGTAGACATCTGCTATTTTTTGCACTGGGCTGTAAACCTGTATTACTGCTGTGAAGTGGGGCATTTTAACATGGGGGTCTGTTGAGATTGATCTGCTGGATCCAGCTTCATGTGGCTCTAAAAGCAGTTTTTGGCACTTCTTCAAAGGCTGCTATTTTCAACCCTGGTGGTTTCTGCTAAGTTTAAAATGTTTGACTATCCCATTTCCAAACATGAGGGGAGAAAATGAGAAAAAGCACTTCAATATGATGTACAACATGAAAAGGTAAAACCTATGTTAGATTTGTGTGTGTGCGTGAGAGTGCACTTACTATAATGAGGAAGATAAAGTAGATGAAGTTGTAGAAAGAATGTGCATCCATGACGTAGTACATGATGTCCACCCAACCTTCCAGAGTGATCACCTGTATGAAAGCACACAGTACTCACAGTGAGATGTCTCAATTGCATCATTATTGATAAAAGATCAATCCCTTTATATAAGTCCTACCTGAAAAATGGCAATCCATGCATATCCAATATTGTCAAAGTTAATAGCTCCTTTGTGTGGGTTTACTTCCCCGGTCAAACACTCGTTGTAATACTGGTACCAGTTCACACATGACCCCGAATCGTCTCCTCTGAGTCCCTCCTCTGTCCGGGCCTCCTCAGGACTCAGGAGGCAGTAAGTCCTGCCCACACGGCGGCGAGGAACATCTGAACATCGAAGCATCCCGTTCTCTCTGTCCATTGAGCAGATGAACGGGTGGTCATCAGTGCCATCTTGCTTATAGTAGCCACTCAGGAAGGAGATGTTATATCTCCTGGAGAAGAAGAGAAAAACGTTTCGTATTAATTTATTAGAAACACCTTAATTACGGAGGGTAGGTTAACAGAACAGCATAGAGCAAGAGCAATACATACTGTCACATTTGGTACAGCTGGGGCAATACAATAATATACATATAATAACAATATGTGCTTAAATCTAAAGTAGGTTTCCCCATTCTGCAAACAGACAGTTTTTCAGAACTTTACTACTTTTTTTCCTGTCTGTGGTACTTTGCCCCAAGCCCGTCCCTAAGAAGATGTAAATCTTCAAAAATGGGTCACAGTAAAGAAAAAACAGTTTTAATTTTGCATTAGGAGCTGCTCACTGTCATTCTTCAGACAGGAGGGATTGTTGGACTATTTTCAGTCACGGATTAATAGCCATTTGGTGAGCTATAACAGCAGGAATGTGTATGTGAGATTGACTCAATATAAACTAAAGTACCCATGTTCATTTAAATGGAGGATACTTGTCAACATGTGCTCGATAATATTATTTTATTTTGTTTTTTTTACAATAATGACACCGAAGAACAAGCCGTATTAGAATCTTGCTGCACAAATAAAACTTGTTATAGTCAAACCATTTTATTGTTGGTTTTGGTCCAATGGGAAACACATAGAATGGCTCTATTTGTTTTCAAACTAATCACAAAAAGGGCTTAGAATACCAAAAAATACATATCTGGACAAATTCAGGTAACGTTTGAACGATTTTTAGGAAAATAAATCGTTAAACAACCTATTGTTTGTACAGACGGTCTGGTTTCTGGGAGAGAACAGAAAGACAGTGCGTAATACACAAGAGTGTTTAGGGAGGAAATGAGGAAACAGAAAGAGAAATACAGATGAAGGGGACAAAAAAAAAGAGAGAGGCAGGGTGCAGTGGAGAGATAAGCAATCAATCATGTGTGGTGTAGAGACGGGTCACAGAGGAGCAGGGCTCTCACTTCTTATCCAAAAAGGTTATTTTGTTGTTTATTGTCTCAAATGCTAACTGAAACTAAAACCCAAAGAACAATTTGTTTCGGGTGGAAATATATATGCTACTTATTTAGGAGGCTATTGTGACAACATGAGTTTAAAGCAGGAGCCAATAACAATGTCACATTGTCTTTCCTGATACAGCTGCACTACGTTAGAAATACAATCACAGAGTCCTGGCTTGGTGATAAAATTAGAATAATGCAGTGCTGAGGATTCTGTTGTTGTCATAATACTGCGTTCTAGTTAAAATAAACGGAACTATTTTGAGTCTACAGCTCTCGGATGTGACAACGGGGAACAATATGGCAAGGAACTGAGTAGACCCTTCTGCCTACTCAATCTTGAATCACAATCTTTTATTAAAAGCCTTTAGTTATTATGGGCTGTGATCAGTAGAATTTGTCAATGGCGGTTATTAAACACAACATTTATAGTTGGCCCCTCCTCCCCGTCTCCAACTTCAAAGGCCATCTGCCTCGTTGCAGTCGATGCGTAAATACAATTCTAACACTTGGTCAATACATTTTCATAGAGGTTGACACTTAGAAGTCTTCTAATTTCAGAGAAGTAAGAAAAAAACAGGCCTAGTGCAGCACACATAATCCTATTCCCTTTTGGTTGTAGCCTGTTATAATAATTATATTTACTATGTTTTATTGTATTTTTAATATTTGTTGTTGTATTGTATTCACTTTTTTCATATTTAATTAAATTCATGATTGTTTGCATTGAAAAAATAAACGTTGACTTCAATTAAATGTTTTTTTATAACAGATTACACATAATTGTATTAGATTAGTTAAAAGGGAATAGCATAATAATATTATATAATATATGGAACCTAATATTTAGTATTTCAATTGACTATTATTGCTTTCAATTAACCTAATATAATTATTTGTAACCTGATATAATATATTTAAATAAAGTCAACTTTAAAATGTGTTGCGTGTGCTCAAGGACCTTTAATTGTTTTGGGGATTCACACTTTTAAATATATATTTTTTTTACTTAAAGGTAGGGTAGGTAAAATAACTGGATGGCCTACCTGCCTGTCAGCCTTCCATCTGTGCACAAACTTATCTCGTGCCCTCATTGGTCATGTGCGCGTTCGTGTGTGTTGGAGGAGGGGCTCTGTAAGGAAGTGGCAGATTTTCTCCGGTCATGTATTTTCAAATTCTAGCGCACTCGGGCCGGTTTCTCAAACTTACATACCCTACCTTTTTTAAAAGCATAAAAATGACATAAAATAGTGCCAAAGGACATTAAAATACATGTGGATTAACTTGGTTTATCGATTAAAACCATGTGGTATTTATTGTGTTTGCAATGAATTTCCTTTCCTTTCTGTCTCTATAGTACTCTCAGAAAGAAGACAAATATGAGGAGGAGATTAAAGTCCTGAGTGACAGACTTAAGGAGGTAAGTTTATGACCACTAGAGCTATTTTCTCTGAAGGAATCTGCGTCAGAATGATTAATATGTTTTTTTTTTTTTAAAGGCCGAAACCCGTGCAGAATTCGCAGAGAGGACAGTGGCGAAACTGGAGAAGACCATAGATGACTTAGAAGGTACACTTCATTTTCATTCTTGTTTTCAATCCTTTACTGACCGTTCTTTACTCAACCTTTGTTCAAATCTTTAATTTTCTCATTCTTAATCTCTGCTCTGATTTTTCTCTTTCTCCTCCTGATTTTCCATCCTGGTCTTCAAAATGTCTGCCTTGTCCTCCACCTGCTTTCCTCTCTGACCTTCAGACGAACTGTACACTCAGAAACTGAAATTCAAGGCTATCAGCGAGGAGCTGGATAATGCCCTCAATGATATGAACACCTTGTAAACGTTGCATTTACCTCAAGATGCTTCCACTTTCCCTTTGTCACTACTTCCCTGATTTAAAGCACTTTGTCTTTTATTTTCTCTCTTTGCACTTGCACTGTCCCTTGCTCCTTTTTTGTTAAACTAAAGCTGAATAAAGATATTTTTTCTCTTTTTACTGTCTCCTGTCATTTCAGTTAAGCCTTCTCTTCACCTCGTTTCAGCTGTAACATTTCCTTTGTTAATTTGCCATCATGAAAAGGCCTTTGTAGGGTTACTTCTTGTATACAAATATGTTTTTTGTGTTATGTTAGTCTGCTTCAAACCGATTTTCCTAGCACTTATGTACTCATTTAATCTTTTCACTAACCCAGCCATTGTGTTTCACATCTGCTGTTACTTTCTATTGCAGAGAACCTATCAAAAGAGAAAGAGCAAAACCTAGGAATGCAGCAAGTCCTGGACCAAACACTGCAGGATCTCAATAGCTTGTAAAATGCCAAGAACAACATCAAACGAATGAAAAAAACAAACATTTGTTTTGTAAAGGATCTTTTCTATATGCCATCCATTCCCTGTAATTCCTCTCTCTAGTCCTGGTTGTTAAAAACATGTACCCCTTTTTATATATTTATGGTTCTTTTGTTTCTTCCCCGCTTTTTTTAATAATGGTTTTGGGTCCAAATGATAATCAGTTTGGTTGCTGGAAAATGTGTTGTACATCAACCTCTGAGCACAAATAAAACTGATGAAGATGATGACATGAGTTATGAGTGTTATGTTGACGGTGTGTGTTTATGCACCATTTTGCATGCAGAAAGAGCTCACCATTTAATTAACATGTGCTAACATGCACACCACCCTTTGCGCTCTTCAAAGAAAAAGATACTTCTTAGCTGAAAGCCTTCCTGATCCCTTAACAGTAATGTCATTTACTGACATTTGTTTTTTTATGAAGGTGTCAATGTCATCTCATTAACCACAGCAATCAAATGACATATGACCAGATAAGTTCAATGTTAAAGATGACTTAAAAAAGGGGAAAAAAAGTTGTCAATTGTCGAAATAACATACATTAAGAAGTCCTTATTACGATGTGTATTGCCAAGTAGGCTTTCACTTAGCAATCGCTCAAAGTGTATTTATATAGCCCAATATCACACATTTTACTCTTAACATAAGAAGGTGGATGTCAACAATCCTGTGGGAGCCATCATCGAAGAAGTAGCATGGTGAGAATCTGGCAGGACCAAAGTGACAGGCTCAGCCACGACTCAGGATCCCACCGTAGACAGACACCAACAATACATTTGGGGAAAGCTGGGTTATTTGGAACATGAGTACACGGGTACAAAGAGAAAGAAGCAAGGTGTCCCCCGACAGTCTAAGCCTAGCAGCCAAACTAGGGGCTGAATCTAATCAGCCCAACAGTAGCTTTATCAAAAAGGAAGCAGTATAAAATATTATGATACACTATATTGCATACAAAATATCTTGGTTTCATTGCACTGTTGTCTTACATAATACTCTTTTACATAATACTCTTAAGTATTGATATTTTATTTCTATATTTATTTGCATGGCATTTCATTTTGAGAAAATCCAAAAGTAAAACGTTTTTTCGGTAATAAGCTGTTGTAACGAAATATATTTGTGTGAACTGTATACATGTAAATCAGAAACATATGAGCTAAAACAGAATTGAAAATGAAATATTGTACAGGAATAAAATACTGTTTACTGTAATAATAAATAAATACAATGTAAGTATAATATTAATACATGGGATTTGTATAGCGCTTTTCCTAATGCTCAAAGAAGCTTTACATAAAGGAAATAATTAAAGTATAAGTACTTCAAGAATGTGGACTTGGACTATGGTTAATACTTCCCACACTAGACGGAAACAGTGACTGAAGGGTAAACGCCCACTGGTGACAGTTATAAACTGCAGGGAGATTCCGGGCCAGCAGGCGGCGTTATTTCAGTATATTTCAGTACCTCCACATCACTGGTTCGCCGGGCGGGATTTCCGCAATAATATCAAGTATGGCGAAGACATACGACTATTTGTTTAAATTACTGTTAATCGGCGACTCTGGAGTCGGGAAGACCTGTGTCCTCTTCAGGTTTTCAGAAGACGCCTTCAACTCCACGTTTATCTCAACCATAGGTACGGATTTGATAATGCACGCTGTCTTTCTGTCTGTTTACAATGGTCCGTCTCAAGGGCTCCGTCTACTTGCTGGAATGCTAGCTATGCTACATTTCCGGCTGAAAGTAGTTTATCTTTTTTATTAATAAAGACTGTTTGGTTCTTCGAGATGTCATTAATATAATGTAACTCGCAAATACGAGATGGCACGGGAACATATCGTGACCTATGTGTTTTGAAGGAGGCTAGGAAATTGGTAGAAATATGTGTGTTTCATTGTAATTTTTTTGCCTTGTGGTTCCACTTGCTAGCGGACGTTTGCGGTTAGCCAAGTAGCTTTGGCGCTAGCCAGTAGGTTCTGTCTATATCCTGGTAAGACACCGGAAAACCTTACATGTAGCACACTTTAACTGGTTAATTTAACCATGATATATGCGCTTTTGTTCTTTTATGCTCTTAGTAATGCTTTATGACATGATAAGACACCAAGACGCCTGTTAATACCTTTCCACAAGTGACATTTTTTTGTATCGCAGTAGGTGTCGGCCAATGTTTGACAGGTACCGCTAGCTAGCAAACTATCGCTATGATTGACATGCATCGTACTTCTTTATCCCTCTAGGCATTGATTTCAAGATTAGGACCATAGAGCTTGACGGCAAGAAGATAAAGTTACAGATATGGTAAGTTGCTCGTTATTTATTACTAGTTCCAGAACATTTCATGGGCTGGCAGGGTTTTTGTCAATATTTGGTTAGTAAAGTGCGGTGGCACCCACTTTTTTCAAGGCAACGTTAATGGTTCTCATAGATGTACAGTAGGATGCCTAAACGTCATTAACACTCTTAACGTTCGAGTATTCTTGATTTTAAAGTCGTGCAATTATTTTAAGATGTATGTACGTGTTCCAAAAGGCAATTTTAGCATATTTTATTTCACTTTTATCTATAGTTTGTGTTAATTACAGCCTACAAAATGAATTCATCCAAAGCCAACCTCTACATTCACCTGCAAAAAGTCAATTTAAAAATAAATAACTTTACATAGCTGGCATATTTTACTACAGTTAAACAATGATTACAATTTCCACAAGTTTTATACAATTATTTTTAAAACTTGTTTCATGCATTTGGTATATATTCTTTAACTTTCTGATACATTGAGATACTTTTTGTTGTTTCTCAGGGATACGGCCGGCCAGGAACGCTTCCGAACAATCACAACAGCCTACTACAGAGGAGCAATGGTGGGTGTCTCTTGTTTTTTCAGACAAATGCAACATAACCCTTTTCCTCCTTGAAGGAACATATAAGTTGCTTTAATACTCTCAACACATTTGATTTACTGTTTTTTTCTTTTCTTCAGGGCATCATGCTTGTCTACGACATCACCAACGAGAAGTCTTTTGAAAATATCAAGAACTGGATAAGGAACATAGAGGAGGTAATAACTGGCTCAAATATGTCCTATTTTATCTGCCTACTTCTTCAAATATCCAAATGACAGCATGTGTAGAAGGTTGTTTTCATTACATTTCTCTGCTCTGGATCCAGCATGCATCATCTGATGTTGAGAAGATGGTCCTCGGCAACAAGTGTGACATCAATGACAAGCGGCAGGTGTCCAAAGACAGGGGGGAGAAGGTGAGAAGCTTGGTTTACTTCAAATCAATACGTTGTCTTCAAATTATATTTGCTCATTAAAAATATTGGTGTGATAAACAAATGAAAAAGACTGATGGTTACCTCCTTTATTTATTTATTTCTTTTTAGCTCGCATTAGAGTATGGAATCAAGTTCATGGAGACGAGTGCAAAGGCCAACATCAACGTGGAAAATGTAAATATACATTCATCCTTGAGTTATAGTGTGCCTCACAGATTATAGATCAGCCATGTAATAACATTTTTTTTTCGGTTCACAGTCATTTTTGACACTCGCCAGGGACATCAAATCAAAAATGGACACAAAGCTGGTAAGAACTCTTCGATAATACCACTTCGTTTTTGGAAATGGGCAAATTGATGAATGTTACAATTGCTTTTGAGCAGCTTCAAAAACTATCCATAGGCCTCTGGTTTTAGAAAGTATTTGAGGACTGTAAAGAAAGTGGCTGAACTATATAAGACCAAGCAGTTCTACATGACAGCAGTGACCTTTTTATTTGTCATTTTCACAGGAGGGCAACACGCCGCAGGGGGGCAGTCACGGAGTCAAGATCTCCGAGCCTCAGAAAAAGAGTAGCTTCTTCCGCTGTAGCTTACTCTGAGGACCGAGGCCTTCGATACTGGCTTCCAGCTGGCTGGACAAAAATGGACTGTGCTTGCTCTTAGCACTTCCTTCCCCTTCCTTCTTTCAACCCAGTCCACACAATCCATTATATTCCTAGTAACAGGAGGACTTCCCCTCCTCTCTTCCTCTTCTGAAAGCTTCCAGCGGTGCTTCTCTTTCATTCTAAGGAGATCTGTTGTCTTCATGGGTCAGAATGCTTGACTGGTTGAGATAAAAACCAGGAGCATTGACCAGATGTTCCTTATCACACAAAACACAGGCTTTTTCTTTTGATGTAAGTCTCTTTGTACAATGCCCTCATATTTCACACAGCCAGTAGCACAACTGAAGATGAGAAAACGTTAAATTAATGTTCTGGGATTGCAAATACAAATGTGACGTTTAGATCTATTTTTAAGTGCTATTTCCCTTTAAGTGATAAACATCAACCGAGACTGAAAGGCTTGAACTGAAGTGAAACAGAGTTGCACAAGCTTTCATTGTCATTTGAGGAGTTAACACTCGTGCCATGCATAAAGCAGTCAAGGGTCAGAGAGGAATGGGATTAAAATATCTTACATTTGAGTTCAGTTCTCTGCCTGTAGTCATCGACAATCTTTTGAGTAGCTTAAAATAAGTTTTAACATCCGGTCCTGTTCATCGCACCCTGCCTTCCACTCTTTTATCTTTTTGCAGCCGCTGTCATGTTGAAAGGCAGATTGGCAATCCAGATTTCTCTTTAGATAAACTTCTGCTGGCACATTTTTAGTAGAACTTTGGTGTAGTGACGCGTTCCCGCTTTGGCTTTCTCTGGTGTAGTGACCTGAAGGAAAGTATCGTACACAGGTGTGGAAGGGAAAACGTGCAGAAGGTTACCCTTTTTACAGAAAGATATCAAGATGTGCTCCCATTATAATTCAAATAATCCTTCAAAATGAAGTCCAGCGTGTAATGAGAGGAGGCTGCATTTAGCCATTATTTGTATTGATTATTCTGCCACTGCATTTCTTGATTATTCGATTTATATTTTGATCTCTAAAACATCTACAAAGTGGGGAAAATGGCTATTTAAAGTCAAGGTGACATCTTTCAATTAAAAATGTTGTCAGATCAAAAGTCCAAAACCCAAAAGCATTCAATTTAAAATCACATAACACAAAGAAAATCCTCGCATTTGAGAAGCTGCAACTAAACGTGTTCTATATTTGCTCTAACATTTAATATCAACGTTTAAATACAGTGGCATTCAGTTGATTGTTTCATGGGATTGCTTTAAAGCGTTGGCCGTTTGACTTTAAAGTGTTGTAGCAGCTCTGATTCACAGTCAAGCTAAATGACGTCTCTGGTTATTTGATCAGAAATTAAGATCACTTTTGAATTTTTCATACTGTAAGCCCCCCCCTCTTCTGCTATCCATGCAGCTCTCCTTGCACTTTACCAGTAACTCGTGTTTTGTGTGTAGTCTGTGCCAAGTGATAGTTTTGCAGTACAAGTACTTACTTAAAAACATTTTGAGTCTTGGTAATATATTGGGCATAATTCCTAAACTCTTTTTTACCACATCTACTTATAAATGACTTGATATCCTTTGCTATTTCACTTCTAGTGATCCACTGCCGTGGTATTAGTTCACTGAAAAACATTGCCCCAATGTACTTATATATATTTATATAAAGAAAAAAAAGCCTGTTCATATGCTACTGCCCTGCCAAATTATAGTTTAAAAAGTAATGTTTCTTGGCTTATCACATGAATGCTGGCTTGGTGAAAGCTGAAAGGTGCTCCCACTAGTATTATTGTGCGTTTGTGTTTGACAGTGGCCCTTTAGTTTGACAGCTAGGTGGCACCAGAGGCACAGTATGCACTATAGATGAACACCTGAACTCACATTTTAATCAGTATTTTATTAAGAGCGCGAGGCACAGTGAGCTATACCTGTGCGATCCAAACATGTACCCACTATTTGACATCTATTTCCACTGCTCCTCATGTCTCCTTCCTTCATTTCTCACCAGTCTGAAAATCGAACTCCTATATGCACAATATCGAGGGAGGATCTGCTTCTGCTTGCCTGCACTTTTTTTGTATTATTATTATCAATTCATTTGGGACCTCATGGCCATTTGTCTTAACTGCTAATACTCAGTTCTGTCATAGGTGAGCTATGCATTGTGAATCTTGGACCTGTGCATATTTGTGTGATGTAATTTCAGACGTAGACCTGTACAGTTGAATGTATGGGCTTTTTTGTGTGTCACTCGTTGAGCCAAAAACAGGACTGTATAAACGGCATTGCAACAACAACGCGAGTTGAGTTTATCATGATGGAAGATTGAATAGAGAGAGCCTGTAAGTGTGGAGCTGTTTTCCCTCTCGAGTGATACTGTAGCTTTGATTCATAAACAGAAACGTTGGGAGCAGACTTTAGAGAGACTCTGAACTGCGTCATTTTCATCTGAAATGAACCTCTCTCTTTGATTTTAGTTTTGATATCATATCCTTTACTAACATAATGTACATCCCTTTTTACAGCCATATTTTCAATCCATCGATTTGTGAAGTACACGGGAGAATAATAAAAATACATTTTGAAGAAAAAAAGTGAAAAAAAATTGTAAATATCACATTGAAAAAAAAAAGAGATCTACTTAAATTGTACTGTACTTTCTAAACCCATATGAAAATGTATCTACAGTTTGTAGATATCTGTACTTTTGATTTAATAAAATAAGATTATAAAACTAACTTTATTTCTAGTCACTGTCTTTATTGGCTGCCAGTTGACCCCATGCAGCTTGACTGCTTGCACAACAAACGCTTCTCTATTCGGACCGCTATAACCCTGTGGATTATTCTGGCATGTGTTTTGTTTTATAGTCTTGTGTAACTGATCCCTTTTTCGATACAAAACAGATCTGCTGTTGATGGTCATAACTAATGAGGCTTGTCTTTAAGGCTTCGTCCATGCCTGCATGTGATGATAAGCCTGCAGTCACCATGACTGGTGTTATTTCTGAAGAAGAATCAACTCGGTATGTGCGTACAAATCTAATTTGTCTTCATGCAACATGTCTAAGGGATGATTTTCTCTGATATAGATCAGTAGGTTTTTATTGGTTTTTTTAAACAGAAAACACAAAAGGCACATTTGAGTTATTCACAAGATTAGATTTTGTTGCTTGAGAAGTCACACTTTCCAGACACTCAGTCCATCATTAGGTGGTATTAAGATTAAGAAATAAATGAAAGCTTCATTCCTTTATATCCGTATGTGGAAGGTGCTGTGAACAGAAATAAGAGAAGTTAGATTTATTCATTAGAAGTTAAAGTTAAGAACAGATATTATTATATTAAAAAAACATAGGATGACGGTCATTGATACAAAATATGTAATGATGAATTGTTCTTATGTATCCTTTGTAGGGGTTCATCATGTGGTTATCTCTGGCCTACCTCAGAAAGTCTGGAGCTCGGACGATCATGGTCTGGAAGTCCTCCAGGGACAGCCGTCCGTCGTTGTCCAGGTCCGACTCATCGATCACCTTCTCGCACACCATCCTCACCTCGTCCTCCGTCAGCTCGTTACGGGTCAGTTTGTTCAGAGTCTTCTCCAGGTCGGACTTGCAGAGAAAGTCATCATTGTTGAAATCTGGCAAAAGATAGAAATCAAGTAGGAAATAATCTCAATGAATTGTGGACATAAAAGTATGTTTGAATATGTTGACTAGGGCTTGGTGGATGTTTTCCACTATTTGGACATGTTATGGACCAAACTGTTGAATAAATATAATAATAAATATATATATAAATATTCAGGGTTTGAACTATATCTCTAAATCGAATAGCATTAATTATTTGTCTTACCCCGTAATGTTACTGCTTTTTCCTTATCCATATTAAGGCATTGTTTAAACATTCTTTAAGCCTTACATACTCTCCCAGTCCGCCATTGGAGAGTTCATTTGAGGTATCTAGCTCATCATAACACAACCCTTCTGTTACAGTATGTCCTCCTCTATTGGTCTGAATAATGAATGAAAATCTTCCTTGACCCATGACCATGGCCATGTGTATGTAACTTCTTCATCTGTCAGCATTTGTTAATTAGAGGGGGGGCACTATTGCAGAGCGCAAACTGGGCTTTGAAGAGCTCTTTGCCTCTATAATGGGCCCCTTAATCATTTATAACATTCCATGCACCATCCGTCATGCTTACAGCTCCCAGACTTTGCACCGTGGTTCATTTTCATAAGCCTGCACATTGATGAAATGTCAAAATATACTTATGTTTAACAACTGTTATGAAACTGGCTTCATAGTTCAAATGTTTACAAGGGATTAGATGAATGTGTTGCACACAGGCTAGGTATCAGCGTGGTTTATCACACTCTTCAGTTAGGCCTACATGTTTCCTAATCTTCAGTTTGTAGTCCTGAAGATCCCGGGCTGTCGTTAACAGCTCAAAAATCATACTTATTATTATATTACAATTACATTATGATCTGTAACCATTATTCCTGATGACATTTCCTAATGTTATTGTGTTTTACTTATAAATATGATTTCTTTCTTATTCCTTTACACAAAGTGATGCAGTTTTTCAGGTTCTCATCTGGTTGGATGCAAACACACTACGTCTGTACAATACTGCACAATTCTTGGTATTTGAACAACTTTTGGACAACTAATCTGAAAAAATATTATAGCATATAAAACATGTAATGTTGTTGGTGTATTATTTATATTTTATGCTAATTTCTGCATGCGGTCACCTTCAACATATGTTCAAGCTCAGTTTGAGACCACTTCCATACCATTCTCTGAATTAGGAATGAAAAGATCAGAAGAAAAGAAAGAGGGGATTCAAAGTGAGAATTACGTTCATTTGAATGAATGCTCTTACACCAGTAGGATCTGTGGAAGATAAAGCCATTCTCAACTAAATATATTTTTAAAAATTTGATAACCTCCATTTGATTTTTAAAAATGTCTATTACTTTCTTTTATATTTTACCATATATTTTGAAAGCGTAGTAGGCCTTGAGGTCACGCGGGGCCATCTCGCTCAGGACTGAAAACATGTCCAAGAAGTCGTCCAGGGTCATGTTTCCCTCTCCGTCGTCAGAGAAAACCTCAGCGATCCTCTGACGAAACGGGTTGTCCTGCACAGAGGGGACACCAGCACCTCTTTAAGTTAAAACTGATGAAATCACGAAGCAATAAGAACCGTTTCCTGTTGGTCTGATGGCTTCGCTGTGCTACAAGATTGTGTTTATGTTCAATTTATATATAATTTTCTTTCAGAGTTACTGTTATTTTAAGAACTCAAAAAAGCTCTTCAATTTGGATGAATGTCGGACAAAGTACAATCTAACTCTCCCTTTCTCAGGACATGTCAGCGACAAGCATGTTAACACATATGTTTACCTCCCTGTCATTGTGTAAAGAGGCATATAATTGACCCATTTCAAACAAGTGTGCCCTGAGGGACGCACCAGCTTTCTTAAAGTTTAAAGGAGTCGGGTAACATATAACGTTTCAAATAATTCTGTCGATTAGTTGGCCATTAATTATGTATTGGGAACACAGGGAGTGGGTCTACCTTCAGCTCTGGCATGCTGCCAATCAGCTCATATGGTAGCTTCACATCTGGCTGGCAGGTGTAGTCGAGGGGAACGAGCTGCGGCGCCAAATCCCGATAGCGGTCAAACAGTCTAGGAAAGGTTGAAAAAAAAAAGGTCTTTCAATATTAAATTAAAAGATATCGTTTAATATTATGTATTTGATATTACATGGGGCAGATCGTATCTAAGAAATATTTAAAAAACTCTATTTCTCTCTTTTTATTATCCACACGGAAAACAATGTCTTCTTAGCACAGTCAAGCAAGAATTTAAAACAATGTGATTTCAATGGTAGCCTGCCCCACAGTAGGAGAGGCCTCATGATATTGTGGTTTAGAGTTACAGTAAAGTATAGTGCAGAACAGAACAGAAAATGTGCTGTATAATGTCTAACCAGCAATAACTTTGATACAACAAGATTTTGATACCAGTCAGATAATTTGATTCAGGAGAAATGCTATAATTTAATTTCTCACCTGAGAATTTCTTTCCTTGTAAAATATGTACAGTCCTGCAAAAACAATCAGATTATGGCAGGAATGTTGAGAAATTAAAAAAAAGGTATGATGCAGCATTTCTTAATCACTTGTTGGACACTAGTTCTAGAAAAATGATTCCGCACAATATAAAAACTCGTAAAGGTCATGCATTTTAAACCATTTTTGTATTTTTAACCAAGATATATTTGCCACAAAAACTACTTATACTTAATCTTAATATCTGTGTATACTCTTAAAAAACATGTAATATTATTTCTAGGGATATTAATATAGGTTAGAAATACATGTAATATTACTATGTTTACCTTACTACAGAAGTAAGGTCAAATAAATTCCTTGTAGAGGTATCAAGTGGCAACAAATTAAAATACTCATAAAGTACATTGCCAAAGAATAACACCTAAGTACAGTACTACAGTAAGGTATCTCATAAGACCAAATGTCGTTAGTGAACTTCCACCACTGATTTGACATCAAAACAGGTATCTAAATAAGACTTTATCACTTGATTAAAACATGCCACTATGCATCCTGTTACTAACTTAACACCACAAATGGCCTCTGATGCATTGACTGTAACAAGTCCAAATACTTTCCTTTTCGAACTGCACATTTGGAGGTTGAGACATGACGTCTGACAGGCCTATTGCCCTTGTTTACAGATGCTGGGAGCTGGTATTGATAAGCGATGCACCAAAGAGAATGAGGCTAACCGTCTCAGTCAGAAAGAAACGGGATTGACACCAACCTGATAGGAATCGAGCTGCTGTGCTGTGAAGATGGTCTGTTTATTCCCCATGTCCGAGTGCACAAACGCCAAGCCTCAGGTCCATCGCTGCTCCAGCATCTACTGCTTTTTTAGGGTGTGTGGATATTTCAGATATGAAATGCTGGCACAAAAGGAAGCCGGAGCCAAAGAGGAGATCAGGTGTCGGGCTGCCACCGGGCCTTTGGTCCCCATTATAATGGCAGCATTTCATTGTTTTCTCCATTGTGAATAGCAGCCCCTCTGACAATGAATAAGGGCTGTCGTCCAGCATCATGCCAAGTGGTATCAACCCCTTTAGTGCCACTGTATGGCCGACGCCTCGCTCACAGCTCGGGTTACACTCTTTAGAGACGGGGTATTGTAGTGGGCAAATAGACTTTTTGATGGGAGACAAGTTTTGTTTTAGTTGAGACCTCCATTATTGGGTATATCCAACGATTGAATGCTATTTCTCCTTCAGCTTTAGCACAGGTATTACATTAAGCTCAATGATAATGCATTGAATTGAACAGCAGCACTATACGATCAATGCATCCCACCTTCACCTCACTGTATTGTGCTCTCCAAAAGAAATAAGGAAGACATTAAATAGGAAGAAAAGGTTTTTAGTAACAAAAAATATATTTGAAATGCTTATCCTTTTAAAAAGTCCAACATGGTGCAGTTTCATTTGGGAGAATCGACTGTATCTCAGTGGGCACAGGCATGGGGGTCTGGACCTCTTCAGGAAGCCCCATAAAATGTAATTGGTTGCCAAATCCATCTGTGATGCAATTCACCGTCAAAACTTTAAACCTCCAATGAATTAAATATTTTTAGTTGATTAATAAATCCATCCATTTTTCTTGTGCTTGTTTAGGACAAGGTCATTTGTTCAAAAGCAGTTTTTGGACAGTTTATTATTATGATATGAAATGTAGTATGTACTGTTTTATGATAAAAATATGATTTGATGGTAGGATATTAACCCTCCTTGTTTGCCATTATACTTTGGCCTGCCCTATGATCATGAAACAGGTATAACATTTATTTCTGTGAGGTATTACAAATCTTTTGACCACTGTTGGGGAAATATTTTCCAAGGCCCATAACTTTGACCCAGTTCATCAGTTCATACTGTCCTGACTGAGCACACGCACCTGTAACCTTGGCTGCTGTGCTCTCAGTGTTTTGTCTCCCTGTTCCTGCCTGTTGGCGTCAGCTGATAGAGGTGTTATGATTATATCTTGTTATGCAGCATGTAGATTATTCTCTCTGAACTAGCTGAATACATGGGTCTGGGGTAGAGTTCTTCAGATTTGACGTGGCAACTCTACCGTGAAGTCAGAACCTCTGGCTGCTGTGACTTGTGATATAAA